CTTTCAGAAAGCTCTTTTTTGTGTGCACATTAATCTTTACAGGAAATATATAATAGCATGTGTAATTATCTGCTTGATTAAAGCAATAAGAAATATAAATACACACAAACGCATGCATCAAGATAAAAAAAAAAAAAAAAAAAAAAAAAAAAAAAAAAAAAAAAAACACGATTTTGATTTCATAAACGACAAAAGATCAAGAGACAGGAAAATCCAATATGAAAATCCAATATTATAAACGAAAGGGGGCGAAACAAGAAATCATTGCAGTTGAATCAAGAAAGAGGAGAAGTTTAGCGAATTAAAATTGCTGTGGAATTTTCAGGAATGAGTTTTTGTTCAATAAAAGCCAAATATGAGTTCTTAAACAGAAATCTCCAGCAATCCAAGGTAATTGAAGCATTAAAGTGTAAACAAGTTGATTTAGGCCAAATATCGTTAAACAAAAAGAGGCCCATCACCAAACAAAAGGGCCAAAAATTTCGTTCTGATTTCAGTCGTCTTCCCCGCCTCTTCCTCTTCCATCTCTGCAAACTGCAACTGTAATTCTAGAACTCTCGGCTGCTACTAAACATTCACTATCCTCCCTCCCAACCTCTAAATTATGGCTCCGCCACAGTATGTCAGCGACCGTGGGGAGAGGAAAATGATTTCTCCTTCCAATTTTTTCATTGAATTGCTATGAAAAAAAAAAAGAGGGCGAAGTGAGGCCCCCTTCCAGTTTTGGCCTGAGGTGCAGGCCTCATACGCCTCGCCTCAGGACCGGCTCTGTAGTCCCCTTCCCGATTGTCCCTATTTGCCACAACTCCTCTATCATTGCAAAATTGGGATGTGTTAACTGCTTCTATAATGCTATTAGTTCATTTGTTCTGCATTTATGTAAATTTATTTATGAATCACCCAATTTTTCTTCTTCTTTCTTTTTTGCCTTTTCTTTTTCTTCTTTCGGGTATTGAGAATATGGCAAGGGGCTCTACTATTGAATCGTTTCCTCTGTAACTTGTATTCATGCAAGTCTCGAATTCAACATTTTCCTCATTCTAAAATTATGGGCAAATCTTGGTATACATAATTTATGTACATGGGAGCGTCTACACTCCTCACATGAGGGTGGGGCCCACCTCGCTCGCACCCCATATGAGGGATGTGAACACCTCTATGTATATAAATTATGTACACCAAGCACAATCCTTAATCCTGCCCAATTTCGACAACAATAATGATAAGTGTGTTTTTGCACATTTATTTAGGTCACAAACATGACTTAATAACGAGCAAAATGATTGAATTGTGACTTAATCTCACACATTTGTGAATTGTAGGGAACAACGAAGAACATGGTGAAATTCAGGAGAAAAATACGAAAAAGGACGAAAATGACGCAAAGTGAAAGTTCAGGGACCAAAGTGCAAATATCCAAAAGTTGATTAGATGATCAAATCGAGAAATTGAATAAGCCAATTGACGATATCGTAGGATGATGAAATGAAAAGAATGAAGAGAAGATGCCAAGAAGTGAAGGATGCAAGTGGGAGGACCAAAACGCACATATGCCATAGTTGGTAGTACTATGTGACCACATAGTGATACCATCTATGTGGTCGCATAATAGCATACCGAAAATAAAGAGGCAGCAAAACTTTACTCTATGCGACCGCATAGAGTAGCTCTATGCGGTCGCATAGAGCAATTCTCGAGGGAAAATTCAATTTTCTTTTTCTTTTGAAACTTTTATGGAAACAATATTTTTTATGATCCTATAAATACAAAAACTCGACCAGAACATAGGGGATGCTGTTTTTACATGTTTTTGAGAGGTTTTGAAGGAGAAACGAAGGTTAGAACAAGAGAACAACATCGCGCCAAGTGAAGATTGGATTGAAGATTGATTCGGGTGATGACGTTTCTTCAAATATTTTTATGTTTTATTCTTTTTAGCATGTTATGCTAGATTTATCATTGTTAGGAGATCGATGAACCTTGTAATACTACGTTTAATTGTTGCTTTGGATTTTTGACGTATTTGAACACAAGTTCCGGATTTGATTGATTTATTACGTTTTTATTTTCATATGATTATTGTGCACATAATTATATGATTGTGGTGGCCTATTTTATGCATTCGAAAGAAGAAAAATAGGTTTGACATAGTATAAATCATCATAGAGTCCGATAGGGGATAAAACTATACCTCTATGCCTTGTGTGAATCATTGAATATTCGTGAATTTATAATGCATGTCGGTATGTTAGTATTCGTCATAAAAATATAGTCAAATCATATATTGGGATAGGTTTGGCATTGTTCGAGAGAGATTGCCAAATTAAAATAGGAATATTGATTCATCTTTTATGGAACTGTGTGTCAAAGTTGCATAATTGACAATTGAACGGGTATTGCTTGGGGATTCGTGATCCTAGTGCAATGCTTGGACTCATAGATTAATTTGAACTAATTCAATCCTTGTGGGATCGATACTTGGACTCATAGTCCATTTTACTACTTTTTAACGAATCGTACACTTGCGGTGGATTTTAAATCGAAACAAACAAATCAAGGAAGTGAATGAGCTAACTACCAATTTGGTGATATTATGATATGATGGAAATAAAAGAAATATGCAAAAGGATCAAAATGAATCAAACTGAAAGTTCGGGGGACCAAGTTGCAAATGATCTATAGATGAGACGGGAAATGGAATGAAGATTCAAGAGTGTTAGAGGTCAATCGGGTGAGGAAAGGAGTTAAAGAGGTGAAATATGATCGAAGTATTATTAAGTATCAACTTTCAGGCGAAAAAGCTATGCTTGTAATTTTTAGCTTCTATTTGAGATCCATTTTTGGCATAGTAAACATCAGAATTTGAAAAAGCCTATTTCTATCAAAAGTGTAGATCTTTGAGTTTTCTATCCAATGAACTTTGAATCACTTGAATCGGAGATCAATAGAAAAGGTTATGATCAAAATACTAAAAACTATCCGGCGGAAAGAATCGCATAACTATGCGGTCGCATAGTATAAACTCTATGCAGTCGCATAGAAGCCTCCCGAGAATTTTTTCTCAAAATTTTTTACTCTATGCGACAGCATAGAAATGTACTAGGTGGTCGCATAGGTATATTCTGGGGGCCGATTCTGCAATTTCCTTATACGATCTAAACTCTTTTGGTAACCTAATTTTCACGCGATATAAACACCAAAAGACGTCCAGAAAGGGGCAGAACATATTAGAGGTAGAAGAACATTTCTTGGAGAGGATTTTTTGAGCGCAAGAACGAAGATTTACACGAAGAGCTTCAAGATTTCTCAAGATTTGATAACCCAGTGATTTTTTTTATCCAAAATCTGATGTATTCTTTTATTTTAATCACGTTAGGCTAGATTTTCATATACTAGGATTTGCGATGAACCTTATATTATGAACTCTTAATCTTGAATTTTATTTATTTGACGTTAAAACATGTTTTTAATTATTGAATGATTGGCATGGATTTTATTTTCTCTACAATTATGTGCACAATAGTTGTATGAGATTTGTGGCTTGTTTTACCCTTGAGAGATGGAAAATAAGGTAGACATTATGTTAATTGTCGTAAAGTTCGATAGGGGATAGAAATATACTACTATGCTTTACGTGATCTTTAAGTATTCATAAATCCTAAATGCATTTTTATATGTTCGCATCGGTCATAGAAATATAGTCGGATCGCATGTGAAAATAGGTTTAATTCTACTCGAGAGAGATTGTTAAACAAATTAGGAAATTGGTCTTCATAATTGAATCGTTTTGTCAATTTTATAAAATTCGGATTAAAGGGGATTGATATAAGGGAATTCGGAATCCTAGTATGCATTTCGTTATCATATTTTATAAAACTTGCACTTGGGATTTTACAGTTTTACCTACTTGCAGATACCCTCGATTTGTACAATATCGAAAAATGAAAAGGATTCTAGTCGGGAGGGGTTCTAGGTTTTGAAAGGGGGAGAAAATCAAGGCTAGAGTTACAATCGATTTGCATCTCAAATTCTTTGGCGATCTATGAAGGGTAGATTTTGTGCATGGTGGAATTTGAGCTTCATAATAGTTGAAAGATGATGAGTACAGGAATTGTGACAAAATTCTAGGACTATTTTAAGAAACCAGAGTACTCAAATGATTCTATGTGGGAGGATGCAAATGATAGAGTGTGAAAGAAACCTATAAAGGCTGAGGCAAGCGACGACGAGGAAAGGTGGTGGTGGGGTTGGAGGAAGATGAACAATCCTTCTATTTATTTATTTATTTATTATTAATTTAACTTGTTGAATTATTTTACGTGAAAAATGTAATGTTATCATTTTGTCCTTTTTTATATTTGGTTAAAATCAATTTTTTTGGTCAATTGACGGTCAAATGAATGGAATTCATCCATCTATCCTTCTACTACAACGAAACGAAAGTTTGAGACCGTTGGGAGCACAAATGAAAATTTTGGATAAATTCTACAAAAAAAAAAAAAATAAATAAAGATCAAAGATCGCAGCTGTAATTTTCCCTTTAATTAATTAATCAGTTAGAAAATATATTTTAGCTTTTTTTCCCCCTTTAATACTTGGCCGAGCTTAAAATTTTTACTTATAAGTAAATAAAATAAGTAGGTTCCAAATGAATTAATTAAGTCAGATATTTTAACTGTAGAATAAAAATTTACTTTTCAAACAAATAATAATTTTACTTGAGGTAAAAAGGAAATATTTGAACGGAAATAACTACAAGTGTACTAATTTCAAAAGATTTCCTTATTCAAAGAGGTTACCATTGTATTGTTTTGTTTTAAAACTTTCCTTAACTCAAATCCTTCTCTAAATCGGATTCTACCAACTTGATTCAGAAGAAAGCCTATAAATGTAGCAGTCTATCTTCTTCCAACCATCAAAAGTACAGTACTCATAAACAATCAGCTCTCTCTCTTTTTGGGAAGAGAATTTTTCTCTTTCTACTCAATTAATCCACAACAATGGTGCGTCCGATTAAAGTCCGACAGGTTTGGCAATATAATTTGAAGTACGAATTCAGCTTGATATCTCAAGTTCTCCGTCGTTTCCCATACGCATCTATGGATACCGAATTCCCAGGAGTAATCTACCATCATCCCGTACTCCATTATTCTGCTCTTTCGGCCTCTCAAACCTACTCCATCATGAAGAAAAATGTGGACGATATGAAACTTATCCAATTCGGCCTCACATTGTCCGATGCAGAGGGCAATCTCCCCGATTTTGGGACTCCATATTGCTATGTATGGGAGTTTAACTTCTGCGAATTTGATGTTGACAAAGATCTCCAAAACCCAGATTCTATCGCGTTGCTCAAGCGCCAAGGCATTGATTTCTCAAAGAACAAGAAAATAGGAATACATGCCTTTCACTTTGCCACGCTGTTTATGGCATCTGGACTTTCAGTGGCTCCGACATGGGTAAATCAGAATAGGACATGGGTAACTTTTCATAGCACATATGATTTCGGATTCTTGGTAAAAATTTTGTCCCAACAAAAATTGCCGAATGACCTGTCACGTTTCTTGCAATTGGTGCGGTTGTATTTTGGTACAAAGGTGTTTGACATGAAGCAGATAATGGGACTTCATCAGGTTCACGGCGGTCTTGAGAGGGTGGCGAAAAGTTTGAACGTTGAAAGAATGGCGGGAAAAAGCCACCAGGCAGGTTCCGATAGCTTGCTTATGATGCAGACTTTTATCCAGCTGAAGAAGATTTATTTCAATGGTCCGAGAAAAGAGTTGCTGAGTGGGTTTAGTTGCAAGTTACATGGACTAGCCACAAATTAAAAGTTAGTTAGTTGTTTGCGTCTAAGTTTACTTCACAGTTGTTACTCTTTTGGAAAATAATAAAAATTATACTTTCTTCTTGCGCGTTTGCTAATCCTAAATAATATAAAATCCCAAAGTACTTCAACTAAATTGACGAAAACTCGAGTTAAAGGCCTGTGTGTTGAATTCTTTTTCTAAATGAGTAACATGTAAATACAGCCAAACACAGGTCTTTCAACAATGAGGAAGATGAACATGGCTTCCAACATGTACTCAAAGCCACAAACGCCCATTGACACAATTTAAAGAAGTTAAACACGTGCAAAACTACGTGTAAAATAGAAATAATTGGGTTACAACTTAAGAGAAGCATCGCGTGGTTGAAGATCTAACATAATCGTGAGTTACTTTGTGATGTGAAGATTGATAATAGATTCAAGATTCTAAAACTAGTATAGAACATATGTACCAAAATTGCTCGTTTTAGAGTGTATGAACCTGTGAACTAAGGGCCACGGCAATCCCGAAGAATGTCCATGCATGAGAAATTGTAGGCCCGTTTATGGATTGATGTTGCACTCTCCCAAATAAAGGTGATTGTAGTCAACATATTTTGCTCAATAGAAGGCACATTTGGATTATAACTGTTGACCTCGCGAATTGGACATTCCATGTGGCCAACGGATAACCACTCCATGTAATCCTTCCTGCGCACAACAATGCACGGTCAGAAGCATACGGCTAGAACCAGCGGGGGTGGTGGCAGCTGCATACACTCCGACGGTCAAGTCAGTGTTTGGTGATCGGAACAGTGCTCAAGTTATGCAAGAGAGTGGGGAGGAGAATATATATTTCTTAGTATGGAGGGCTAAGTTGTGAGAGTTTCATTACCCTTGTCTCTTACCAAACCTTGGGTATTTATAGACGTAGAGCACCGTTGGATGTGTGACATGTGTATGCATCTGACGGTGTGAAACGTTCGCTCATAGACATTCGCGTCTAGAGTGGGTGGGCAATTAGTTCTTTTGAGTTGAGTTGACATAAAGTTGATACGTCACATCAACCAGACCTATGGAGACGTCACATCAATTGATCCTTGGAGGTAGAGGGGATCCTGACAGATATCTTTCTGACAGTGGCGACGAAGGGATCTGTTGAAGACTTTTCGGCATGAGGGCACTCCGACTAATTCAGTGGATCTATGCTGCGCCTCGCAACGTGTCAAAATGGGGGTCGCCGGATCACTTTGGAACCACTTCGGATGAGGACGTGGTGCTTTGGGAAATGGTGTGCCTGATGATTCGAAGTGGTTTAGTTAGGGGCATAACAGTAGTCCTCCCAAGTTAGGGCATGAATATTCATATCATGGGTGGACTTGTTTTCTCGATTGTGTATGCCGAGCTTAGAGTAGGGACTGTGGATTGTGATGAAGTCCTGATGTGAAAGGGCGATCAAGCAAATGTTACGAACAACTGCTGACTAAGGCTAGTATAACCGAGGCGTTGTAGGTCATGGTTCAGATTTCGGGGCGCTGACCCATGGGAAAACACGTGTTGGGAGATGGCTAAGGCTTTAAAAAGCTGAGGGAAAACGAAGGTCGAGGCGATGACCCATGGGGGGCTCCGTATCAAGCGCGCCAAAGCTTCGTAAAGCTGGGTGAAGAGCTCATCTACCACCGATGCGCTGACCCACAGAGGATGACGCGTTAGGAGATGGCTAAAGTTTTGTAAAGTTTAGGAGGGAACGTAGCGTCCGAGACAATGACCCATAAGGATCTCCGCGTCAGGTGCGTCGAAACTTTGTAAAGATGGATGAAGAGCTCATCTGCCATCGATGCGCTGACCTACAGGGGACGACGCATTGGGAAATGGCTAAAGCTTTGTAAAGCTTAGGAGGGAACACAGCGTCCGAAGCGATGACCCACAGGGATCTCCGCGTCAGGTACGTCGAAACTTTGAAAAGCTGGGTGAAGAGCTCATATGCCACCGATGCGCTGACCCACAAGGGACGACGCGTTGGGAGATGGCTAAAGCTTTGTGAAGTTTAAGAGAGAACGCAACGTCCAAGGCAATGACCCACAGAGATCTCCGCGTCAGGTGCGTCAAAGCTTTGTAAAGCTGGGTGAAGAGCTTTATTCGAGACGAATTGGGACGATTTGTCCCTAGTCTGACTCGTCTTATTATAACGTTAATCGATGTGACAGCTTTCGCGTATTTTCAAGGTGACAGTTGGACGTGTTGCCTGTTCCCAGAAAAAGGGCTGTTGCGGCTACTTATTGTTGACAGCTGGTGCTGTTCGACGTGACGCGTTTTATGCGTGCGTGAGGGGCACAGCTATATCTTAGCCGTAGACCAGATCTGACGTTTCATTTTAATGGCCTGGATTTGTACTGCGATGGATGGCCTAGATTGATAGTGTTTGAATTCAACGGTGGAGATTATCTAGAGTGTTCTATAAAAAGGGGGGACTTGAGCATTTTGAGAGGTTTTCACTTTTGCGAAATCAAACTCTCTTTGTTCTTAAAATTCTTTGCGTTTTTCGGCGATTTCCAAGTAATTTTCGACAACACTTTCAGTTTCTGGCGAGTTTCAGAGGGCCATTTCTTCTTTTTCGAATGTAGAAAACCCCAATTCGTTCATTTCAGTAAGTATTTCTCTAGTTTTTCACTTTTTTTTTGAATTCTGAAGATGGCTTTTGAGAGTAGTGACGCTTCAGGGAGGGAACTGGGCGTAGTTCGGGTGGATGAGCCTATATTGGTGACGTCCAGTGAGGTGGCCGAGGCTACATTAGGGAGAAAACATCTGGCGGAGGCTTGATAGCCCGGTAGACACGTCAGAACATTGCGGGGGCTTCTGACTATCCATCGAAGTTAAGAGAGGCCGACTTGGATAGACTTAGGGCAGAATATAGATCTCTGATAGCGTAGACCTTATATTGCCGGAGCTTGATGAACGAGCCTGTTACCCTAGGCCGGGGTGTGTAGCTATGAGCGAGGCACTCTTAAGGGCTGGACTTAGGTTGCCTATCCATCATTTCTTTCGGTATGTCTTTAGGTCATACGAGCTAGCTCCGCCCCAATTAAACCTGAACTCCTGGAGTTAGATGGTGGGCTCCTGGATGTTGTGGAAGGAGGCGTATCTTGGGGTAGAGATGCCCTTTTCAGTCTTTCAAACCCTGTACATCCCTAAAGTGGCGGCCGGGGGATAAGACTAAGGGGTGGTATTACTTAACCTCCTAGGGGGCCCATACTCCATTCATGCTAGACCCGCCGAGCTCAATAAAGGACTGGAAGACGTCATGGTGCTGGGCATTCGGAAGGAGGGACACAATGGAGGGGGACCCCCTGGCGCCCCTCACAGTCCCAACTACTTATTTATCGCTCAGTGAGTGCTGATGCCCTGTGTTTAAATTTCTTTTGAGCTTCTGTTTGGTTCCTGGCCTATGTTTGTTGTTTGCAGGCACTCTTCCTCGGTATGAGATATCCACTGAAGAATTTGACATAATTTGCATTTTTTTATCAGTTCCCACTGAAGAGGAGATCTTATCACGAGCTGATCAAGAAGAATAGACACTTTGTTATGCACGACCTAATGGCCTCTCAAGGTGAGTTTCTAAAGGGGCTTTATTGTCGTAGGTTTCCAAACTCCATATACTTGTACTAATTTTCTCGATTCCCTGCAGATAATTTCAACAAGAAGAGGCCCCTGAGGCCTAATTTTAAGAAAAAATGATGGCCAAGGCAAGGGCCTTGAAGACCTTCTCCTCTGCCTATAAGAAGCAGATCGATGAGCTGGTGACTGCAAGCAAACGGCTTCAGCCAATTGGCGGAGGAAGAGGAAGCAGAAGAGCCAAAAGCAAACTTGCTAAGGAAGGGTAAGAAGGCTGCTGGCTCCTCGAAGGGGTCAACCGTGGCAAGGCCCCCTCGGTTCTAAAGCAGACCACGATACCCACCGGGGTGGCCATCCGGGAGAAGACAATTTGCCCTTCCGAGGCTTCCCAAGTTGCTGCTGCTTCAGCTGAAGCTTCGCTCCCTGCAGTGCCACTTTCCCAAGTGCCAGGGCAGCAGAAGAGGAAGAGGGCTCATCCTGCAAAGGAGGCAAATTTTCTGAGCGTCAACATTGACGAGCTCGTGAATGAGGTACTGGAAGCCTTGCCTCCGGAGACCGCTGCAGTGGCAGTGGTCCACCACAAATATTGGACCAAAAAGTGGAGGGACCACACCGCTTCCTGCATTGCAGAGGACCTCGTTGCGGCCAACAGTGCATGCATTGCCCGGGCCCTTAGCACAAGCGTCCAACTCGAGGAGGGAGGATCTGGCCAAGCGTTTAGAGGAGATGATGCACTATAGGGACGCAGTGTGGGCTGCCCAAGAAAAGGCCTCTGAGATGGAGAAGGTGAGGCAAGAGGCAAAGGGCCGGTTGGTGAGGGCCAATGAGGAGGAGGAGAGGCTGAAGAATGAGCTCTATAAAGTGAAGTACCAGGTGGCTGCTACGACGAGAAGGGTTGATCAAGCCAATGAGCACCACCGGCTCACCACTAAAGCTCTGGAGGCCTCCAATAAAGAGAAGGCCGAGCTGAGGCAACAGCCAGAGGCCCAGGCTGAGGAGATCAAATTCTGAGGGCCGAGGTAAAGGTAGCGGGGGAGTCAGTAGTGCAGAACTTCATTGATCACTTCGAAGATCATTGATCGCCTAAGGGAGGTCTACCCAACTCTGAATTTAACTTCATTGGAAGTGGAGTTCGATGGGTCTACAGGAGGTTGACCTGACAGGGCTACCGATGAAGCTATCGAAGCCGTCCCAGAGGTCGAGCCGGAGACTGGGGCTGACGATGCCTCTAGAGTATAATAGGAACATCTTGTAACGGCTTCGGCCCATAATTTGTAATTTTTTTTATATTAATGAAATTAAAAATTTTCCAAGTGTTCTTGCTTCTCCCTTTTACTTTTATGTTGAACTGTTTGTATGAGTAAATGATAAGTAAATATTAGGCACCACTTACCAATAATAACCAGTCGATGACAGAAGAACTGACCCATATAAAGCACTGAAGAATTGAGGCACCAATTGATTAACCCACGTAACATAATGGAGAACTGTGGTATTATAACTTAAGAAACTTACATTTTCTTTTACTAAGGCAGTTTCAGCACATAATAAGATAGGAATGTTACTATACTGGACAAAATGTAGATCGGATCAGAACATACACATCACTGATCGTACTTCCTCAAGTGTTCAATGTTCCACTGATGAGGCAGTACCTTTCCTGCCATGTCTTCCATTTCATAAGTGCCGGGTCGGGATTCTTTGCGGATGCAATAAGGACCTTCCTAGTTCGGTCCAAACACTCCGGACCCACTTGGCTTCGATGATTGAACAAAACCTTCTAAGGATGAGGTCCCCCAGACGAAGAGTTCGCTTTCTGATTTTGGAGTAGTAATAACGGGCCATCTTTCTTTGATACTTGGCCAATTTTATTTGGAAGGAATCTCTCATTTCTTCAAGGAGGTGAAGTTCGTATACTCGAGCTTCATCGTTGTCGATCTCATTGAAATGCATCCGATGATGAGAGGGGACTCCCACCTCGACAGGACTCATAGCTTCGGATCTGTAGGTCATAGAGAATGGGGTTTCACCTATTGCGGTTCGGCTAGTTGTTCGACTGGCCCAGAGGACGTGGGGAAGTTCATCGACCCATGCCCTTTTCGAGGCGTCAAGCTTCCTTTTCAGGGCATGCTTAATAGTTTTGTTCACTACCTCAACCTACCCATTTGCTTGAGGGGAGGCAGTCTACTATACCACATTTCGACAGTTCCTACGAGGGTTAGATGGAAGGCCCTGCATTTCAATGCGGGTGAGGCTCATCTGTGTCATGTACTTGGTGAGGTGATTTTTCGGGTCCCCCTTTCCCTCATACGTCGGGATTTTATGGGCCACAAAATTTTAAGGCATTAGGAAGCTTCAGATTTTCTTTGAGAAAGGAAGGTTGTCATCATCATCATCAATTTTATAAGATCGACATAGCCCCTCGGAGCCTTCATCATCTTGCTCGTTCTGTGGAGGTGCTCCTCCTCGGCTGGCCCAATCGACTAAGTTCCTTCTCTCCCGTCTATTTCTAGGTGGAGGAGGTGCTTGTTCTTTCTGTTCTTGCCTAGTCGATCTTTGCACGGAATGAACCCTATCGCTAAGGTTCCGCCCTATTCGGTCGAAGACATTGACCGACCTTTGTGGTTCAAATTCTGGTGGGAAGTTCTCTCCTAGCTGTGGTTCTGCTGGTTGGCTCCCATGCGCATAAGATGTGGCATCTACACCCATTTCTCTTTCGAGGGGGTGTTTCCTCCGCTAGCTCGAACGGCCTTGACCATGAGATGCCGAAATTTCTTGCGTTGGGTAAGACCCTTAGGGCATCTAGAAGCCTTGATGACTTCGGGCTTGCATGAAGAATTCACGCATCGCCATATTCTGAGCTGCAATATCTCTCATGCCTGCAGTTATTTGAGCCATTCCTTCAGTGAGCATGGCTGTTCTTTCACCTCGATGACGCCGGTGATGGGGTCTCTGGTGAGTGACATTGTTTCGGAGCACATCTTCTTCAGATGCATCTCTAAACCCAGGATTTGCACCTTCATTACTAAAACTCATCTTGTCCGCCCCTTTCTCAAGGGTGTTAAGAACTTGGATTGTAGGTTTGTTCTTTTTCAAGAACGTGCCCTTTTCAGGGTAAGTCGACGGTTTCCCGATGGAAAATGTGGAACTTTTGGACGGGAAAGTTTCCCACAGACGGTGCTAATTTGTTGACCTCATGAATTGGACCTTTCACGTGGCCAACGGATAGCCACTCCACGTAATCCTCCCTGTGCACAACAATGCACGATCAGAAGCACACGATCGGAACCAGCGAGGGTGGTGGCGACCGCATACACTACGACGGTCAAGTCAGTGTTAGGTAATACGAACAGTGCTCAAGTTATACAAGAGGGTGGGGAGGAGAATATATATTTCTTAGTATGAAGGGCTAAGTTGTGAGAGTTTCATTACCCTTGTCTCTTGCCAAACCTTGGGGTATTTGTAGATATAGAGCACCGTTGGATGTGTGACACGTGTATGCATTTGACGGTGTGAGGCGTTCGCTCATAGGCTTCAATTAATTACGTCTAGAGTGGGCGGACAATTAGTTCTTTTAAGTTGAGTTGACATAAAGTTGATACGTCACATCAACTAGACCTATGGAGACGTCACATCAATTGATCCTTGGAGGCAGAGGAGATCTTGACATATATCTTTCTGACAGTGGCGGTGAAGGGATCTGTTGAAGACTCTTCAGCATGAGGGCACTCCGGCTGATTCAGTGGATCTACACTGTGCCTTGCAGCGTGTCAAGATGGGGGTCGTCGGATCACTTCGGATGGGGACTTGGCGCTTCGGGGAGTGGTGTGCCTGATGATTCGAAGTGGTTCAATTAGGGCCGTAATAATAACCAAGACCCAATAAGTGCCAAGATTTATCGACAGCAAAAGTCTTGTTGTGATTCTGAAGAATAAAATAGTGCTTGAAAAATGAAATCACCATTGTAGTGTTCGTATACGAAACAAATATATTTCTCTTACCAAATTTTGCCATCTGTGGTACACGTCCATTATATTCTACTTCCTCCATTTTCTTCAGGTCGAAGATATTCATTCCAAAAGCCCAACCACAAGTACGAGGATCAAAATTTTCCGAATTCGAAAAGTTAAGGTAACGATCAAAGCGATGAAAGCTTTCTCTACATGTCTCCACCACACCAATCACCTTACCCTTTAGATCAAGTGACTAAAGAGCCGAAAGATCCTTTTAGATCACTAAACCTTGTAGAGCTTGGGGAAGATCTCTGGGAGGTAAAAGTGGAGATGATTCACGATAGAGAGGTACATTTTCAAGTAATAATCAATCACGGACGAATAACCCAACTGCTTAAGAATCGGACTGTAACTCGAATTCAACAATGTAAATTCCTCAACATTCTTAAACTGTATTGTAGCTTTGCCTGGTGGATTTGCCAAAAACCACATCTTCATTTCAGCGTAATTGAGCCTGTCAGTGACAATGTGGAAAACGTGGTTTGAAAGATCCTACTCGGGATCACACAAGAATTTAACATTAAAATTTTGAAACATTAAATTTGAAGTAAAACAGAATGAACAAAAGATCTCTGTGTTTCTTCAACCTTCAAATGAAAACCAAAGAGTGAAATTTTCATAAGAAATTAATCCTTTTAACTTTGCATGAGTTGTGGTTGAATTCCCTACAACTACTGCTGCCAATATGTTATCTGTATAGCTTGGAATCTACTAATTTTTCTTGGTTCAAAAAATGCCACTAAGAAGAATTCCACATGAAAAACTATGTTGATAGGCATAAAGGAAGACTACGAAGTCTTTTAGGAAGTGTTTTGGCAGTTATATGCATAAAAAATAAGGCCTGCTTTTTGTGAGCTCGGAGTTGCTCTTCTGTCAAATGAAGCATTGCACGTAGCTTCCTAACACAGCAGCACAGTCATCTTGTATTTGCTTGCCTTTCACCAAAGTTTGCTCCATTGTTTTTAGCTTCTCGTAGGTACTGAAATTAGAACACAACAAGTGAAGTATACAATAACAAAAGAATGTTGAAAAAATGAAAAAGAACAATGAAAACCTCCAAGCCATTTGATCAAAAGCTTGAGAGCCTATAAACATTGAAAAGTAAGGATATCCAACAAAAAGGCTTATTTTTTCTATCTCGGAATCCTTTGTGGCATCCCCAGTTGCTCGTAGGACTTCCTTTATATGTAATCAGAGCTCTCTCATGAAATGGGGATTGTTTCAAGTCGCAGAGAAGGAAAGATAAACCTTTGCTGTTACGAGTTGATCCTTAAGATGACAAACACGTGCATCGAGCAAAATTGTTGGTTCATTCTCTTTCTCAGTCGTAGTCTTCCCTTGCTCTCTACTACCGTGTTTTGTAGATTTCCAAATTACTCGTGTTTTGTTTCATAACAGGAACCCTATAAAAGAAAGAGAACCGAAAGTTTAGACTACAGGAAGCAAGGCTATAACAAAAACTACTTTTGTATACCAACCATTGTTTCAATGGTTAGATGCATTGCAAAATACATACGTAAGAATTAAGAACTCTACCTTTTTAAATGTTCCCTCTTCTATTTTTCTCCCCCTTTCTACACAATACATAATTGAAAATTTATTCATTCCCTTAAAGCATATTTTTGAAGCCTGACCAGCAAGGCCAGCCCCGAGAATTTAGAGGCCCCATGCGACTAATTAATATGAGGCCCTTTAACATAATATTTTATTTTACAAGTGTAATAATATTAATAATTAAATAATTAACACTTTTACATTAAAAATAAGACTATAAAATTCAAAATATAGAGTAGTAAAATAAAACTTTACTCACAACCCTAGAGAGTAGGCTGGCATAAAATTTAACCTTATTACATTTTGAGATGTAAAATTAGTAATCAAACTACTAAAATCAACTTTTTTCCAAACCTCTCCAAAAATAAAGGATTCGGCAATAACAAATGGCCTGCAAATATATAGTTATAGAGAATAAGCAAAAGTCTACCTTGAGCAAATAACTAAAAGGATAAAAAAAAGTCTATTACAACACCCTATTGGACAGTTTAAATTTCAAACAATTTTTCTATCCAATTGACACTTGACAACAATGCAAGTGTCAAACAACGTGTCAAAAATCAGTGTACAAGTAGCAAAGTTCAATCGATAAGAACATTGCTACATGTACACTATGGTGTACACTTTAGTTTACAATTTGTCACGTGACATTATCCCATTGGACAGTTTAAATTTCAAATAATTTTCCCGTTCAATTGACACTTGACAACAATGCAAGTGTCAAACAACGTGTCAAAAATCAGTGTACAAATAGCTAAATTCAATCGGTAAGAACCTTGCTAAATTTACATTATGGTGTATACACTTTGCCATGTGACATTACCCTGTTGGACAGTTTAAATTTCAAACAGTTTTCCCATCCAATTGACACTCGACAACAATGCAAGTATCAAACAACGTGTCAAAAATCAGTGTACAACTAACAAAGTTCAATCGGTAAGGACCTTACTACATGTACACTATGGTGTATACTTTAATTTACACTTTGCCACGTAACATTACCCCGTTGAAGAGTTTAAATTTCAAACAGTTTTTCCATCCAGTTGACACTCGACAACAATACAAGTGTCAAACAACTGGTCAAAAATCAGTGTACAAATAGCAAAGTTCATTTAGTAAGAACCTTGCGACATGTACACTATGATGAACACTTTAGTTTACACTTTGCCACGTGACATTACCCCGTTGGACAGTATAAATTTCAAACAATTTTCTCATCCAATTGACACTTGACAACAATGCTACATGTACACTATAGTGTACACTTTGCCACGTGACATTACCCAATTGGATAGTTTGAATTTCAAACAGTTTTAACATCCAATTGACACTTGACAACAATGCAAGTGTCAAACAACGTGTCAAAAATTAATTTACAAATAGTAAAGTTCAATCGGTAAGAACCTTACCACATGTACACTATGCTGTACACTTTAATTTACACTTTTCCACGTGATATTACCATGTTGGACAGTTTAAATTTTGAACACTTTTCCCATCCAATTGACACTTAAGAGGGTTTTTTCTTGAAGCTCCAATATTAAAACCATCAGGAAAAATTACAGGAGAACAAACACACAGGCGCAGATTAATTTATTGCTAATTAAAATTTAAAATGCAAAAGTGAAATTCTCAAAAATTAACACTAAAGTCGCATCTGCTCCTGTACAAAATGCCCTCCCTCATCCTTATTGAGTTAAACGCCTATCTTTAGTCCCATCATAATTCACACACAGTCAAAATCTGCGAAGACATGGTTAAACTCCTTTCTTCATTTCTTTAATAAATAAAATAATCAATAGTTATTTGTTGAATTGGGTTCAATGAATATAATATTAATAAATTCATTCTCTTTCTTACTGGGTTGGATTTTAATTGAATTTTGTTGATTACGGTAGTTCAAATAGATTAATGGAATGCCCCTATTATGATTATTGCTTCTCTCCATCGCTAATGGCATATCAAATTATAAAATCTTGATGCAATGAACTCACAAATTTTGAAACAAATATAAATGAATTTATGTCAGTAGTAACAAAGAAATTCATAATTTGAGAGTGATGGTTTAACCAATAAATAATTTTACATGGTTCCATTGTTTATCTCCTCATATTCCATTGTTTATCTCAAACTTTGTGACCGAGTCCACCGTCTGTGTATTGGATTTACAGAAGAAGAGAATATCCATGGCTATATTTCAGGTGAGGTTTTTGCAAAGGGAATTCAAATCACAAAAAGAAATTGACGAAAACGTGAAGAGAAGACAACTACCAACAGGTACTTCAGAAAATCAGATTTGTAGATTGAAAATTTCATGGAACAGAGAGATTTTTTGGTGGAGAATGAAGATGCTTGCTGGTTGGAGTCTTGGAGAAAAAAGACGGTGATGGTTTGTTTCTCATTGCTCAAAATTTTTTATTTTTTCTAAAGGATTCGAGGGGTTTTGGATTGGGGAGTTTCTGGGCTTTCTTTCTTTGTTAGAGGCCCCTTAAAATTTGAGGCCCAAGGCAATGGCCGGCCCTACTGACCAGTGACGACCTAAAACATGTCACATTACAACGTATAATCCGAGACCCTGGGAAGACGAATGTATGTATCAAAGTTCTCTAGTTCTTATTATAGGATCGTGATTAGGAAGAAAAATGTATGTATCAAACCTTAAAATGAATGACATTATGAATTTGAAACATTAGACATTAAAGTGATAGCAAAACTAATTGAGAAGAAAATAAACTAAATATAATTATACCTTTCCCCCAGAGGAATTTTGCTCAATATGCACTCAGAATTCTGAGAATTATTTTCATTCTTGGGATCAATTTATGCTCCATTTCCCCCAATTAATTCATTTTTCTTGGAATTTTCCCCGTCGGTCCGAGCTTCATGCCCGTTTCAGTCACCTGTATCGATTTCCCGTCCACAGCCTGCTTGTTGCCATCATTAGTGCTCAATGATTCTAGCAAATGCAGATATCCTTATTAAAGGGAATATTTAAGTTGAATGAAATATAATAAAAAAGTAAACTTAATTCGATTCCAAGAAACTGAAATAAATGGGACCTTACAGTGAGTTGTCTTGTGATTCGCGAATTCTCCAGGCTCGAATCATCAGAATAATTTAAAACAGATTGAAAAGAATTTTCAGAATAAACAGCCACCAGTGGTTCTTTCGGTATTGCATATGACTCCTATGGAAATGCACAGATATTATAAAAGATTAGAAATTTCCCTTAAACTAAAAATTCCCAGGGAAAAAAAAAAAAGAAAAACGGAAAATCAATAATCCAAACCTCAGGCATTAGATTTAATGCCTGATTTCATCACCGTCTGCAATTAAAAAAAAAATTCAATAATCCAAGAACAGGAGGAAAGAGAAAAAAAAAAAAAAAAAAAAAAAAGAGGGAAAAAAAAAAAAAAAAAAAAAAAAAAAAAAGGCTTTACCCATCAAAAGATTCAAAACAAGGGGAAAATCTATAATTATATTAAAAAAAAAAAACTATTTAATTATAAGTAAAAAATAAAACTTACAAAGGATGAAACTTCTTCAAGAAATTCCTAGCTGCTGAAAAAAAAGCACAAATCAAAAGGATCCCTTGACATAGTTCTGAGGGGGAAAAAGAAAAAAAAAGACACAGAAAATTGAGAAGAAGAAAAAAAAGATGAAAAGTGGAAATTACAAGAAGGTGAAGTGTAATAGGTTCCAATAGTATTAGTGTAAAGAACAATTTGGGCAAGAACCGTAGTTATCAGCCAGAAAAGCACTGATTTTCTCAGCTTCATCTTTCAACCGTCAAGATCGAAAATTAAACATACAGACACATCTACAAGAATAAATTGAAGATGCCCTGGAAAAGAAAAATATATTAAACAAACTAATGAAAAATCAAGCTTTAACCCAACATTCGAGTCTAGAATTGCGTGAATGATATGAGGTCTTTAAATGGAATGTATATCTGTACTTGTTGTAAAACAGAAAAGTGAGTCAAAACCAACAGAAACAATGAATTTTTTTCTAAACTTTTTGAGTCAAGAGAGAGAGCAAAAATCTGATTAAAAGGCTTTGACAAAGAACAGAGAAAATGAGGAAGTACAGGCTTTTGTGACACAGTGTGTTTTGATTTGAGTAAATTTAATCAACACTAACTCAATTTCAACATTGTTACTACTTCCCCATCCATTTTTAATGTGTTACTCAATACTTACTTATCTTCTCAAATAATAACCCATCCACCACTCACTTGACTTCCATCTCTTCAAATGGATGGAAAAGTACGAGTGGAAAATATAAATCCAACATGGCAATTTTATTCAATTAAATCTTGACCACCTGGAAATAACACCCACAACTTCAAATCGAAGTCACCTCTCTTCTGTCAGACTGGAGAGATTAAAAAAAAATAAAAAATTGCAGGGCCATTTTCATCCTTTCTTATCTTCCCCCTCCCTTCTCTTCTCTCCGGCATCCTCCGATCCGGCCCCAATCAATTGGTACTAGTGTTCTCTATAGTGTAAACTGGAAATGTTCATTCTGTAGTAGCTCCAGCTAGCCACAGCATGGGGAATTTTGCATCCAATTGTATAGCCGAAAGTATGGGCCTGAAGCACGATGTTCTGAAGCCAACACAGGATGCAATGGATTGCTCAGATGATGGAGTTTCGTCGAATCCCAAACCCCAAATCTTTGCGACTGGACATAAAAAATTTGCATTTGAGCAGTTTATGGGTTTCCTTTTTCTATATGGGAATGTGAGCAGTAATTTAATTTAATTTGATTAGTTAGATTTTGAATTTCCATCATTTGACATATAACTTTTTGTCTATTCTGAAAATAATTTTTAAAATTATATCGAATGCAATTTAATATAAACGAGGAAGCAGGAAAGCTCAGGAAAATTTCTTCTGCCAATGTCTTTAATGCACCGATGAGTTCAGATGGATTGGTCGGGGGTGAAAATGGGGTGAGCTTGAGCAACAATGTGAATCATACCAGTGATGTTTCTTTGTGGGTTTAATTTCCAATTGTCAAGATTTTAATAAAATAAATTTGCCAAGTTGGATTTATGTTTTCCACTTGTACTTTTCCATCCATTTGAAGAGATGGAAGTTAAGTGAGTGATGTGAGTTATTATATAAGAAGATGAGTGAGTGTCGGGTAACGCATTAAAGATGGATGAGCAAAGTAATAACATTGTTGAAGATGATTGAGTGTTGATTAAATTTACTCGTTTTGATTTCTATAAACTTGTAATCAAACGTAAGGAAAATTTATTAATGTTAAAACACCATAATCATACTATGGGAAATTACTTCTACTCGTGAAAACAATGGCCGTTAACCGCGGAAATGATCAGGTACCAAGGCACGTGTTCTGACATTTTATCGACTTTCATCTTCATTGATCTTACGCGGTATGAAATATAAGGGCTGTGCTTTTATTTTATTTTATTTTTTTGAATATATATATATATGACGGGAAATCCTTAGCTGCTACCATTTGGGTACACATTGGGTAAATCCAAACCATGTCAGCCAGGTAAACCGCATTAGGCAAGTTCAGTCGACAAACTCGATCAAGAAAATGTTGGTAAGGGAAATCGAATTAGTGATCAAAGGCCTCCGCGCTTACCTACTCCACCAATTCGGTCATTCCATGAGGGGCCTGTGCTTGTTGTACACTATGTACATCAAGAACGTATGCAGAGCCCCTCACAATGCGAGGCCCCGAAGGAACCCAAGGGACTGTAACATTGTACAAACAACTTAACTAGAAATATAATGGGCCCCCTCACATGAGTCGTGGGACCTCCCCTCATGTCATTGTGGAGCCTCCTCATGTGAAGAGGATGTTTGTAGAGTCATAAGTGCTATACAAGTAGAATTTTTCAAATACAATTGGAGCACAATTTTTTCAATTAAATAAACAAGAAAAATTCTTACCCTATTTTTAATATATCATCTATACGTAAATCATTATATAATTGATTATGTACAAATATTATTATTCTTTTAATTATTGCAACACATTCAAATTGCATAAAAATCACATTTAGCCATATTTATTAAATTTAAACTTTTTTTCACAAACTCATTTCTTATCACATTTTCACAGTAAAATACTCAGTATGTAAATCCAAAATTTTTCAATTTTTAACCACAAAAAAAAAAAAAAAAAAATCACTATTCCAAAACTTACTTTTTTTTCCCTGAAAACACTTATTTTAATGGTTGTCAAACATACACTTATATTTCTAACTTTATTTAAAATTATATTCTTATCACAATATAGCCACCCTTTATTATTATAGCAATGTTACGTGTATATAATCATTTACACACGTCCTTATACTCCCCTCACATAGAGGAGGGCCCACATACAATAAAATAGGTTTGAATCTCCCTCCATGTGCGAGGGTGGTGTAAAGTTGTGTATACACCACAAGGTATACCCATAACATTATTCTTATTATTAAACTAAAAATTGATTATATTAATATTAGTTCTTCTTCTTATTATTGTTAATGTTATAAAATATATTTTAAATTTTATACAATATGTGATATTATTAAATATTTTCCTAAGATTACATATCTTCATTATAATTATTTTAAAATGAAAAATATTACTATCTCGTGAATCATAAAATTTATAACACTACAAATGAAAGCTTAGTTTATATAGTAGAAAAGTAGTTAATTTAAATAACTAGTAATATTAGTATTTTAATTATAGATAATTTGAGAAGTTAAAAGCAATCAAAAAAAAAAAAACCATTTTGCTACTTTCCTGAATTTGATGTCACAAGGTTCAAATTCTTCTATAATCAGCTTTTTATAATTTACTAAAATAAAAAACAACTACTAATTGTTTGCGCCTAAGAAGTTGGGCTCTAATATCAATCCCGCGCAAAGCCAAACTATACTTTAAAAGTTAATTTCAATAATTTGCAAGAAATTTCAAAATGATCACTAAAAGTATTTTCTTTAGAGTCGGACATGGTTCGATTTGATTCTCCCAATCCTGAAGTTTTCGAATATTTAGTAAGTCAAATCGTTGATCCAAATTTAATTATGGAAGCGTTTATGTCCAATTCCATTTAGTTCAACTTGGTTCGGTTCGAGCCCCGGGTTCCCTACTATAATTAATTTTTAATATTTACAAAGTTACATTAATTTAATTAATGACATGTTCATTCTTAACTCTTACAAAATAATGTAGGCCAATCTTATGTTTATTTTGCATAGCTCCATGGATTTGATTATTAAATTAACATGAAAAGAAAGATAGCAAGCTCATAATAATTAAGAGAAGCATAGCCGAGTTCAATTCGATTTCTCTAGAACTATAAAAATGGTACCAAGATAGGATAAAAAATTTGGATAAAATTTAGGTTTGTTTGATTAAATTGGGCTTGGACTAAAAATTAGAAATAGGAAAATCATATTTTTGGGTTTGAACTAAATTAATTAATTAGTAAATTTATTTAAAAAATTAAAATAATCTGTTTTATTTAAAATGAATAAATTAAAAAAAGTAGAGAGATTTGGTTATTCCGTTCTTGATCTAAAATTGAGAATCGAACCGAACTCGTCAATTTTCGATTTAAATTGTCGTTTGAATATTTAACTTAAGAACAATAGCTCGTTCGACTCAATTCGGGTCAGGTTTGATTCAATTCAAGAGTTTTGTCCAGGCCTAATTTTCTAACTCTATTAGTCACATATTTATAATGATTTCACAAATTGTGACTTCAGATAGAAAAAAACTAACATAAAATTTGACGTGTGGCCTCAAAATGTCGTGAACTACGCAATGCAAATCTATGAAGCCAAACTCAATTGACATGCTTTAATACAACGATAGTTGGAGGAAAAAAAAAATTCAAAATCCATCTTTCTTGATTTAATACCATAAAATCCATAGTAAATAGCTGGGAAAAAAATAAAAAAATCTGGTCGTGAGAGGTCATTACCCCATGGCCAGTTCAAAGGGACAAAAGTTTGGAAAATACGAAATTAAGCGACATGAATACATGAATTCTCTTTTGAAGATTAATCTATAAACTTTGTTCAACCCAACATCAAGAGGCTGATCAATCAATCACAGATCTCCAAAAGCAATCCACAGGATCAAGATCATCAACTTTGAATGGCCACAAATCTTCATCAAACTTATTCTCATCAATAACATTTTGATCATACAAATTCTGCACACAAAATTGATCAAAATCTGGTGTCGAAGTGGCGGGAAATTCATCAAAATATGAAGAAGAAAGTGCAAATGTATCTTCCAATTCAAAATTTTCCTCCCCTTTAAAGATTTTCGCACCCTCTTTGAGCCAAGGGAAATCAAAAACTCCTACCTCATCACAGAATTCATAGCCCTTCTCTTCTTTGTCGAAATCAAATTCGGGTTTCTTCCCTTGACATGTTTCTTTCTTCTCTTCTTCGTCTCTCGCTCTTTTTCTGTTTTCCCTTTCCATTGTTGAACAGACACCAATGACCAAAAACTTCAATTGAAAAACAGATAATTTGTTAATGCGTTTCGACTACTAGAAGTATCATAGCCCGAATAGCTCAAACGAACAATTTGAAGCCAACATTAACATGAGTGAATGCATAAAAAGATTTCGAACAAATTACCTGTTCTTGGTTTCTCCTTTTTGGCTTTAACTTTTCTGGATATTGGGGCACACAGTAAGTGATTTAAAGCAATGGACAGCCACTAGACGCCTTTACCCAAGCAGATTTCTCCTTTTATCTCTCTAATTCTGTGGGTATAGTAATGTGTGTAGAATATATATCCACATTGGATTTGGTTTGGAATCCTATTTTTACGCTTCTTTCATTTTGATTGCAATAAAGATGCCAATTTTCTGTTATTTTCTTCCTTGAAATGTGATTGGACTTTTGCCACACACTTTGGTTTCCAAGTTTGGCCATCCAAATTTGTGCAACCCACAAATTGTTTTCCCTTTTTTAGACGAAAATGACAACGTTATTGTTAATAGCCTTCATAAAGAACCACCTCGTTCAAATTTTTGAACACATATTTTAGACTTGGCACAATTGCTATGTTAAACAACCTTATCCGATAACATAAATTTCATAAAGAGACAGCATATTCCATGATGATTGATTGGCAATATAAGAGAGACAGAAGCCTAAATTACACACAATCTACCCGATTTCGGAGATATTCATTAGCATCATCCAGCAATATACAGATACAATTTCATTTCCGGATGTACCCAACTTGGCATAACGTATGCATTTTACTCGAACAGAACTTTCTTGGTACAACCAGCGACAAGGGTAATCTATAGTTTAATTTACAGTAAAATAGACGGGAAATGCAGAAAGACATAACGACACCACACAAGTAATGTTGCAATGCGATATTTGTAGAATGAACATGAATTGTTGGACGACAGGAAAAGAGTGCTCTTCAATTATTGCCAACAAATATCAACTGCAGCAACCTCCACCTTGAGAAGAAACACTCCCGCCACCAGACAAGCCTGGGATTGGAACATTACCAACTTGGATTCCATTATGCTGCAAATAACAGCAGAAAAAATTGAAAATGAAGAACAAAACACTGTAGTTGAATTGAATTTTATATATATGGTCAAGTAACGGATTTATATAAATGAGATCTAAATTGGAAGGAGCATTTCAAGCTTGAAAGCACAATCAAGAGGGAATGAACTGGCTAACCCCATTCAACTCGAGAACTCCATCCTGCAACTTTTTGTATATTGTTGCAGCCGTTTTTACAAAAGCCTGCACATAATCGTTTCTTAATGGAAAAGGAAAGGTGAAAAGCAAATAGTGGTGAAAATTAAAAATCTAATTGCTTCACCACCTCCTCAACATTCTGAGCAGTTTTAGCAGATGCTTCCATGAAAATAAGTCCATGTTCTTTTGCAAACTGCTCTCCTTCTTCCGTGCTGACAGCCCTTCTCTGCGCAAGATCACACTTGTTGCCTATCAGCATGATTGTCATATTTGGGACTGCATGCTGCCTTGCATCTTCTAGCCAGCTAGCCAAATGACTAAAGGTTTCCCTCCTGACACATAAGATAGAAAAATCAATCAATAATTAGAATTATTTGGCATAAATTTCCTCCTATGCTATCTTACTGGTCTATTGGACCAGTGGTTCATAGATATGAAGACAAATGAGCTGAAATGTATGCAACATCATGAAAATGCATATACAGAAGCTCCTACTTTTTGTTTGCAATTTTCATGTTAACTAATTTGTTTGAACCATACAGTGGAATTCTTAACCTTGAAGTGCTTATCATTTTCAATCATGCACGACTGCCCTGATGCATTACACTTGATACAGAGTGTATAAAGCCATAATTTGTCAGATTCAAAACATAATGAAATTGTAATATAGTGATGGTCGTTACACTCAGCGTAAAATTTAATTCAAAGAGACCTAAAAAGTGAGAAAAGCCACCACTAACATAAACCACTACAATTCTAGATGTTCAAATGCTATATTTGCCCACAGAAAACAAACTTTTTCCTGTGAGTTACCAATTTTCAGCGACAGGATCGACTATTTCAGGAGAAGATATTTTTGGGGTTGAAATGGCTGCACGCGAACTGCCCTCACTACTTTCGGGCAGCGAAGGTGTAAAAGGCAAAATACTTGCAGATTGAGCTACAAAAATCATCAAATTCTATTGTCTGTTGAAACCTAGCATAGTGATACTGAAGTGCCACCTTGTTATATCATAGACTAAAAGTGCACCAGCAGCCCCTCTGTAGTAAGACCTTGTGATCGATCTGAATGATTCCTGACCGGCCTGAAAATTTCAAATAACTTCAGTTTAGAGTTCGTATTGCCTCCTCAAGCTAACAAGCTTCTAAATACTCAGAAAATATAATACAGAACTACACATATTTTCAGATTAATCGAAGTAACAACTACCGTTATATATCAATGAAAATTCTCGTAAATAAACGTTGTGAAAGACAATTATCATACATCAATAGTTTCAATATCAAGAAGTTACTTAGAATAATGGTTTTATGGTAAAAAGAGGAATAAATGACTGTAATTATCTCTCAGCAAATTTAGATTATAACTGTTAAAACAAATATGTAGATCTCAGTAACATTATCACAATTTGAAGACATTTTTTTTTCTTTTAATTACGAATAAGAGTCATCAGCATCAGAGACGGCAGAAGTAATTGCTTGCTGGCATTTTAACTTGAATTCTCTTCCATGGTTTCTGTTATCTTTTTCCACATGACAACTACAAATCTACACTTCCAACATTTATTGGATAATTTGCACTTCGAAAGAACGTTAAATCACATGCAGCTCAATGGTGGGTAGGAGATCAAAAGAGAAGCAACACTGAAAGGCGTGCTTTACAAGACAAACACACTTGATTGTCGGTCAGAGTCTCAAAATATTTTCTGGAGAACTGATTAATTGCAAAATTGATATTTATCTAATCATCACCCTAAAGAATTCTCAATATCGAAATCAGTGACATAATCATGAATACTCAGAATCAACCGTTCAGAGCCACATGAGAAATGATTAACTGTAAAGTTTTCAAATCAGAACAAGTAGAAGACGAAAAGAAAACCGACCGTGTCCCATATTTGTAACTTAATGGGTTTATTATCGACTGTAATCATCCTTGCCCCAAACTCAACTCCAATAGTTAAGTCATACACAGGCTGAAAACGCTTGTCAGTAAATTGAAGAAGAAGACACGACTTTCCCACTCCTGCAGAAGAAGGTACGTGTAACAATGTATTGAATCATCACCTAGAAACCTTTTTAAACCAAAATATAAAATTGCAGAGTAAAAATATAAATAATTGTTTATGAATCTTAAGCAGGAACTTCATTAAATCCTCATAAAGCTGGTAGCTTTGAACTTCCAATAAGGCTATTTATTAGTCGGAAGTTTCAACATCATCAAGTAACAGAAATTATCAAATTCTAAATAATCGAATAAAATTTACATTAACGAAGAATTCTCACACCAGTAGAATTTACACGGAAAAATACATATAATTTCAATAAAATTCAATAATTCTCTGCTACGAGTAACATTGGATTCAATATACGCAAGCTAGTAAAAGTTACCAGTATCGCCGATGATAATAAACTTAAAAAGGTAAGAGTAAGACATGCTTCCTTCAAATTAGAACGTCCGTGAAAGGAGAACTGGAAAAATTCATACAAAAGTTTCAATTTCGAACAAAGATAGGAATGTTGAAGATGAAAATAATGGAGTTGTGATTGTTTAATAAAGGGACTGGAGTGGTTATTTCAACTTTTTTTTTTTTTAGTATTTAATTTTCAACCCTCAATTACTTCGGCAACCAAATAATTAATATAATACAAATAAATTAATTTATTGACACGTCGTATCTTGTGAGGCAAATTTATTTTTGATTTTATCATTTTATATATATTTTTAGACATATCTTATCTTCGGAGCTAAGTGAAATATTAATCATCTTATTTATGGCCGAGTTGTCCCTCGCTGTTGCATTATGTAAGGCTATGGATTTCAGGATTTCATAGATAAATGTAGTTGAATAGAACAACATGCAAATCACACATTTTACTATGCGAAGATGTGAGGTGTAAGTGGTAATGATGCTTCAACGTCTTTGACAGACACTTTAGAACCGGTCAAGCTCATCCTCGTGGACAAAGAATTTATTTGAGAATCGAGATCAACAGATTCAAGAAATGAAACATGAGGCTTATTCTCTTTTTTGCGAAGTGCTTTCTGAGCATCATTTCTATGTTCAAAAGAGCTACTGTAAAAATGTGTTTCTCAAATTAACACTTTAGTAAGGGCAAAAATGTCATTTGAATGTGGAAGGCCCAAGTGACAGCCCCCAATTGGCTGTTGGTGCTTCTTCGAATCCTATCTTGGCCGTCTATTTTTGATCAACGGCTGAGAACAAATCTAATGCAATTGGTATGGTATTTAAGGGGTCAATTCTAATGGACGATTTTCAATCTGGTTTTTGAGATATTTTCTGGGTTCTTGAGTTTTCTCTCTCTGGCTCTTCGAGAGACTTTTTCTTCTTCATCTATTTTTGTTTTGGTTCTTGTGATCTTTTATGAAATTTATGTAAATCTAGAAGAACCCTGTAAAATACTTATTGCTACATTAATTTTGGCCGATTGTAAGGCCTGTGTTGTGTTTATTTTGGTTAGGCAGTTGGGTTCTTGGATTATTGGTGATTAAGGGTTGACCTTGTGAGATCCTTTGGATCGATGATCAGATCATGTGGCTGAGCGTAGTCTCAGTGTTGTCACCGTCTTTTGGAGGGTTATTTTGTACGTAGTGGACGGGCTTGTCTCTGAGCCCTCCAGATTGGGCATTTTTGGCTGAATTGGGTGAACAATTTGTTTGTGTTTTCTTTACCGTTTATGCGTGGTTGATTGATTATTTTTCACACGAGCACAAAAACGAACGGGAAAATCCCTACACCTACTATAATACCCAAGAAGCTTTTATCAATTTTTCTAAGGAGGACGAGCTCGATACTCACTTAGAGTGGAGCCCGGCAAAAAGAGATGGGACTCTCATCTATCTTTTTTCGTTTGATCATTTCATGTATCGTGTCCAATGTAACTACGGATGCCTACTACTCTACATAGTGCAGCACGGTTCTGAGATTTGGTTAAATCAAATGATGGAAAAATAAAAATTTAATTGTCGTTGGTTAGCTGATTGATCAGTCATGTAAATAAATTAAAACATAATTCTTGCAATAAGTAACATGCTTTAAACAATTAAGCACTTATGTGAGATTTTTTTAACCCAATAAAAAATCATAAAATAAATATAATTCTTGAAGCTGAAGGGATTTTATGAACCTCCAGAAGCAACTGCTATTGGACTCCTCACATAATGCCTTCCATCAGACCATAACAACTCTCCAAACACAAAATCTGTTGAAGTTCCTTCTTTTTCTTCTTCAATAATCAGCTTAAAAGTCTTTTCTTCACCAATTTTCTCAAACTTGAGAGATTTTGGCTCTAAAGAAACCGAAAATCCTGGTGGTTGTCTTATACGAGCAGTATAGGTCCCTGGTGTGCCAACATTTTTCAGTTTTCTTGTCACTGTTTGTTCTCCATCGAGATTCGGGATTGTTATAGAGGGGTTGTTGAAGTTTGTGATTTCATACTCCGTTGGACATTCATAAGGCCCGTCTGAGAATGTACGAATCATTGTTTCATTATAACCAATGCCACACAGGAAATCTAGATAATCGTTGAAATCCAAGTCGTAAACCAATCCAGGATCCATGGCACGGTTTGGTCGTATGTGTCCAGAACCATATCCAAAAGGTGTAGATTTCTCATACGTTGCATCGAGCATTGGATGCATCGTGTTGTCTCGTGTTCTTGCTGAGTTTAGAGCATGATCGCAAACCATCTCATCAGTAAAGGTTGAACAAAATATTAATTTTTAGAACAATACTCGGGGGATTTAGGCCTTTACCGGTTGTCATAATTGCAGATTTTATTGCTGCTGGACTCCAGTCAGGGTGGAGCGACTTAAGTAAGCCTACTACCCCGGAAACGTGAGGGCATGACATTGAGGTCCCGGATTCTGTATTAAAGGGAGTCGTGCGTTTATCAAATTCTTCTCCTGTAGGGCTTACGCCTTCGGAGTATGCAGCAACGATATTCACTCCCGGTGCAGTAATATCTGGCTGGATACACCACAAACTGTAGTTTAGTTTTATAAAATCTTAGCGAAAACGAGAAAAAATAACGAGTTCCTGACCTTGAGAATTTCAGGAGTAACAGGATTAGGTCCCCGGGACGAGAATGAGGCCAAAAATGGAGCAGGCTTTTTGTTCAATACTTCCTTCGGAGCTGTAATTAACCCTAGTGGATGCCTGCAAATATCAAGATATGAGATATTTAAGAAACATTTGTTTTAAGTGAAACATATAGAGACAGATATAGAGAGAGAGAGAGAGAGAGAGAGAGAGAGAGAGAGAGAGAGAGAGAGAGAGAGAGAGAGAGAGGTGAGGTACTTGGTTGTCTTGACGTAGGCAAAGACAGCAACGCCATCTGTGTAATTGATTTGTGTAGCAGGAAGAACATGAGGATCAGCCATAAGTTCATTACCACTTGCCTCGTCGTTACAAAGAATCATCCCTACAGCACCAGCTAATAAAGCTTGTTCACCTTTGTCGACTCGTGCATTTTCCCCCCGAAGACAGACCAGTATCTTACCCTTCACCTTCTTGGGGTCTAATGTTCCTTCTTGGCAGAGTATCCTGTTTAAATTCATCCAATGAGATACAAGAATTATGTTTAGTAAGATGGAACTGGACAGTATTCTTACGCGTCGAGAGCAGATGCATTGGCAGCTTTAGCTTTTTCAGCACTAATAAGTGGATAATATTTATCATTCGGCAATGATTTAGAAAGACTCGTCCCCTGATTAGATATATAAGCATTAAAACTAGCCATGTATGTGGCAAATCAAATCTGACTGTAAAACAGTAGACTGAACCTCTAGGATCATTCCGTTGCTCAGCTTAACATTAGCTTGGAACTCTCGATCAATGGTGCTTGCTCCAACAGTTAGAAGCCACGGTGCAATATTTGACACAGATCCAGAGTCTGGTCCGGAATTTCCAGCAGAGGCTACAACTACTATTCCTTTCTTTACAGCATGAAATGACGCGATGGCTATGCCATCTTCAAAATAGTCTACAGCATCTCCACCGAGAGAGACTGAAAGCACGTTTATGCCATCGTGCATTGCCATATCAAAGCCTTCCATTATATCAGAAAAAAAGCATTCTGAGCCATTGATTGGAGGCCAGCATACTTTGTAAGCAGCTACTCGAGCTTTTGGTGAACCGCCTTTTGCCGTTCCATTTCCTACACCAAATATATTTGCTCCCGGAACGAAGTTTCCAGCAGCAGTGGATAATGTATGAGTGCCATGTCCATCGTAGTCGCGTGCAGTGTTCTTCGAAGAATTAACTTTGCCTCCATACGCAACATAGCCTTTATTGAAGTACCTAGCTCCAATCAGTTTCCTACAAAAAAATTTCACCATGTAACGAAAAGAATTTTTGAAATATTCTCACCTCCACCACCCAAAATTCATAAAAAACAAAGGGAAGTCGAAAAAAGTAATGCAAGAAAAAGCTTCTGATAATACTCTTATCTGCTTTCTACTGTTAAAAAGGTGCAATTGACACTTTCTGACAACTTCAATATGAATAGGGGTTTCTTTTCTGAAGGCAAGGGTCCATTCTGTATTGTCACTATAGTCGAATTTTTTAGCTTTTCAAAGGTGAGTATAAAATGATACTTAATGCATGTTCTGGTGCACAATAGTTGACCAGACGGTAGACAGAAACTTAGTTTCCTTTCCTACCTAATACTGTCAAGTCACGTCCAGCCCACCTTAAGAGACAAGTCGTAAGGAATTTGACTAGCATAATATTCTATGAGGAATGCTCCATGTACACTGGAGTGTATAGGCCCCTCACATGAGAGGGCCCAAGAATTTTTTAATCAATGTGAGCTCCCTCTCATGTGAAAGGGGTGTACACTCTAGTGTACAAGAAACATTAATGATATTCTATTCTTGAAAACGAGAAACAAGCACATAGGCACCATGTACTTGAAGCACTGTTTACTCTCAATGCAGTGCTCTCGTGGCTCCAATGTTCCTTCCTCGCTCAGATACTTTATTACTCTTTGAGCAATGAAATGCATGATAATTGAGAAAGATTCATAGGACAAACAATACGAATATTTCCTTGTTATTACATAGATCATCCTTAACTGATCCCAACAAAATCATTGTATTATTAGTGTCACTGTTAAAGAATGGAGAAACGGAGACAGTACCTGTTGCAAGGGGCTCCAGCATCGCCATCAAGTTGACAGATGCCTTTCCATTTAGAAGGAATGGGGCCGAATCCTTTGCCATTAAAGCTTTCTGATTCAGGCCATACGCCTAATATAGCAATGGAAAATTATTGATTTCATGATCCAACTTAAAATTTAAAATGCAGGATTAGTCAAGAGATTCAAGTGAAGTGTCAAAAGGTAAAAACTTAATCTTACCAGTGTCAAGATTTGCAATAATCGTATCTTCACCAAACCCTGACTTTACCCATAATGACGAGGCTTGAATATTACCATTTCTTTCCAACATAAGAAAATCCCATGAATGTGTTGTGTGTAAATTTCTTCCTTGATCCAAGAAAATAGATAGTACATCTGGATGCTCTTCATTGACACAAAAAAACACTAGTTTTAGTAAAAAAACCAATATGCAGTACTTGATTGTGTAATGAATGAGATTTTATGTATTTTTGTTCTTTATTACCAAGCATGCTATAAACCTAGTACGTAGGAAACATAGGAATACAAGAAAATATGTATTGTCATACTTGCTATTTCTGATGCATCTTCCTCTTCAAGAACCGCGGCAAAACCATTGATATGTCTCTTATACGAATAAATTATCGCATCTTTAGCCTTCTCTATGCTATAAGAAAATAAACTCATCCCACAAAAAAGAAGAAAATAAATGATTATGCATACTACAAAATAAGCAGATTTATTGACACACATACTAATTAACCATACCTTCCCAAGAATGATCCAAGAAACTCATGATGGAATTCTTCGACCCGGCGAAGATCAGCAGAAGTTACTTCTGGACCATGTGAATGTCCTCCCAAGTACACAATATAAGACTGTCAAAGAAAAACGGAATTATAAGTAATGAGGGGGAAAGAAAAAAGCAATTATGCATGATGGAAAATTTCAAGAATAATAGACAATGTGGACCTTTTTGATGGCTAAAGCCGGTTCTTGGAACACCACAGAGAGAATGAATAGAGCATGAATATATGAAATCTTTGCAGAAAACATTTTGGTTTTGTCACTGTAAAAAACCCCGCTTGGATCGATACTTTATTATATAGTGCTTAATAATTAAGCAATAATTTTTTTATTTGTACTAAAAAAAGAGAAGCTGATACTTTTTATCCATCCATCCATCCATTTAAAGTTTACACTTTAAACACTGTACTGTATTTTTCTAAGGAAAGAATTCTTCAAACAGAAAACACTAAAATCGAGGGATTAGTGCTAATCAAAATTCCTTTTGATAGAGACTTATCTATTCAGATCTGTTGAGTATATCAATCTAAACTAAAGAAATTAGAGAATTTTTTACAAAAATAATAATAATAATAATAATAATAATAATTTTTATAATTCATTTTTTGGTTCAATTTAGGACTCTTTAAATAAGTGAATTATTTGTGTTTATTACTTAAACCCCCCTCATTAAGTGATTATTGTAGTAGTACATGCATGGATTAAATAAGAAATTTTGTAAACATTCATCTTCCCTTTAGAACATTCAAATTATAAACTTCAGTTGTGGTTCTATTATTGCTTAAAGCCTCCCGATTACATAATTTGTATATTTATTTGAATGTTTTAAATGTGTAAAAAATTTAAATCAATAACTTAAATGCTCCCTAATTAATTCATTATAATAGTAATACATGCACTTTATTCTGGATTATGACATTGGATGAATAAAATTTGTGAATGACAACTTAATGGATCGGCATAGTTTACATATCGTGGATATTTGTTTGTTGCGACAAAGATTGTATAGAATATCTCGGATCAGGAAATGCTAATCACAGGTGACTCGAAATGATAAAGTTTTGTCAATGATTGTCGACAGTACAACAATTGGTGATTCAGATAGAATTATCGATAACGATTATCAAAAGCAATGTCGTCAATGATATCGTCGAGAATTAGCAACAGTGTTTCAATTACTAATAAAAAGTCATCGGTGATCGTTGACGGTGGTGATTCCGATTGAAATTAATATATGCTAGTGACTCATAATTATAAAACATGTTATTCGAAAGAAAATAAAGTTGAGGTCAACTAGACATATTCATGTGGCCGATTACTGAACCCTATAATCCGATAGATGAGTTAGGTTGGGTAAAATGTGATATCGAGTTGAACTCTAGGCCTGTCCTCGGATAGCCATTCATTATAGGGAATATTACACCGATTACTCATTTATGTTTTTAAATTTCCATTTTACCATACTTTAATTTTCTTTTTAAGTATACTGTCTAATTAAATTCAATCACAAACCCTAGGATTCATTCCAAACAATTTTTTACTTTCAAAATTTAATTTAGCAATTGAAGACCTAGTGATCGCAATGGACCGAGCCGTTTAACCCACGAGCTCAGTTCTGGCTCGTGGCGAGCTGAGCTCGAGCTTGGCTCGGCCCACGAGCCGCTCGCAAGCTTGTGTGTGTGTGTGTTTTTTTTTTTCACATTTTTTTAAAAAATTTTCATATTTTTGGACGAGGCTCGTGGGCACAAGGCCCACGAGCTGCTCGTGGGATTGAGCCCCCTGCTCGGCTCTGACGAGCCCAAACCGCCCACGAGCCAAGTTTTAACGAGCCGCTCAGCCCGTTTGACATCCCTATGAAGACCTCAATTCATAGTTTCCTATAGTTAACCATTTGATTTGCTGATTCGCATACAATAAATTATGTGTGCCCCCTCCATATGAGTGAGGTGTAGACCATTATGTACACCAAAAGTGTACAAGTAGCATCACTCCTCCTTAAATCTTATGCCCTTAACCAAAAAATAAATCTAATATTTTTAAAATTTAAAAGTCAATATATGTTTAAATTTAAGAAAAAAAAGTATGCAAATTTATTACAATAAAAATGTAGGAATTCTAATTTTTCTCAAGTACAAAATAGAAGGTTCAAAAAATGAATAAATAAATAAAATATCACACAAATATTGAAAATTGCAACGAAGGTTTCTAACCCATTGAATTGTGCAAATGGTTCTCAACTTCTATTGTTTTTTTAAAACTCAAATAGTTTCAAGTTTATAGCCCGTTAATCTTCTGTGGTCGGTTTCCATCTGTGTGTCGCCGTTAAAAAGTTTAAATTAGGTTTGAAATTAACAAAATAAATAAAATAAAGAAACAAGATCAAATTTTCCAAAAAATAAAAATAAAAAATTATATACTTTCTGTCACCCACTTTACACCATTCAATTAGGGTTGATAAAGGTTCAATTCGACCAAAATCATCATCGAACTACCAATTTTTTGGTCATACCATAACTGCAGCATAACCGCGTAAATTAATTCAGTTTGGCTTGATTCGTATCTCGGTTTGGGTACTTAATAACGACGAAAGTAAATTACTTGTTATAGGTCCAACAGTCAAATTGGAAAAAAAACAATTTATGAAAAAAGGTCAATGAAAACAAAAACACAATACTAAACCAATTTAACAAGCAATATCCCAAATAAAAGTGCAAACAATATTCCAATTCTCAAATGCAAAATCCGAATTTAACGAACAATTTCTATATATGTTTAATATTTGTATAGTAGGGTGTAGGGTTACTAGGTTAGTTTAGTTGGACTTAACTGGTCGATAATTGTTCATAATTTTGAGCTGGATAGAATCATAAAAAAGAATAATGGAAAGTCCAATTGTCCTTTTTTTTTTTAATAACGATAATCAGTTTGCGATGGGGCGATGATATATATACTATACTCCTCCCGTCCCTAACCAGGGCATTAAAATCAAATATCATATCCATCATATTGTGCCATCGATTCGATTAACTGCGATTTTTGATTTTGACAATTCGAATTGTCATCCCTATATTCAATTGAAAAAGAGCAGAGAATTTGGAACCAATGGTTCTTCACATTTGCCTTGAGTGTACAATGGTCCCTAACTTTTAATTCTTGGCATGAACATCCTAATCAAATGGTTCTTTTTTCTTTTTTTCTTTTTTTTATAAAAAGACCAATATGCCTTTAATCTTAATTATCAAAATTTCAGTTAGATCCCTAAGCTTTTGATGAAGTACAAATGGGTTCTAAACCTTTATTTGTCAATACATTGAACCAATCTTATTGCAAGAAAAAGTTGGCACATAGTAGTTTACTCAATATAATTTTTGAACTTAGGTTTTCATTGCAAGTAAATAATACGTGATTTAAAATAGTTTGTTTTCAAAGTAAAAGTTACATCTGCTTGCTGTTAGAGAGTTTTATGACGAAGAAGAAGAAGAAGAAGAAGATAGTTACAATAGCTTTTTAACTAATGGTTCTCATGTTTCCCTCTCTGTTATCAAAAAAGACTGGTCTTATTATCTTTTATATAATGAGATAATATTAAGGCAGATATGTGCAAACTACTAAATATTTGTTGATCTACAATTCAGAAGAAAAGTGAACAGTATAATTAAGTTCTACATGTCAAAAAAACGTGACAGTTTATATAATTATGTAAACATTTTCACATTGATCTCGGTGAAAATGCTCTTGCACATGTTAGAAATTAAAATAATGTGGTAAAATAAAAAATGGATCTTCTTATTTATTTTAATAAGCAGAAAAAGTCCAAAAATCCAACCTGCAAAACCCATGCATTCTTTGTATACATCTATTGGAACTATATATTTGTTAGAAGTTACCAATGCTTCCTTGCCGTCTTCTTGATGACACCTCTTCTCCATTCCAATGTATTTTCTCTTGTCTTGGCCTTCAACTCTTCTTCTGTTCTTCATTCTTTTACAGAGTAGATGAAGAATATATAAAGAAGAGGGACCAAACCCTCCTGCATGGCTACAAAAACCAATTCATAGGAGGCATTTCATCGATGCAGATTTACAGTAAGCATTTCCATACATTGATGTAACAGACTCTAAATTTGCTAAGAGTGATAGGTTTTGGGCATTGAGATATATTATCCTCTTGTATATTTTAGTCGTGTTTATTGACATTGAAATCTGCCTGGCTCCCTGGATGCCACCTAAGAAGCTTTATCAAAATTCAAGCTTGATGACTTCCTACTTGGCGTCAAGGGAGTCAAGCAGGTCCATTACATTGTCAAACATGACAACATTGTAATATCCTCTTGCATAATTTTTTTCATGGTTTATTGTTCTCATGCTTTAGATTATGTTTTTACAAGTCTCTGCAGAGAAATAGTTCAGAATTTGTGCAGCTATGCGACCCGAATAGTAATAGAAGTGAAAACTTTGAGATGACATTTTTCCTAATATACACGCACATTACTATTTTTCCATATAACTCCATTTACTCAGGTTAGATGTGGTCGACTAATTCAATATTGATAAATTTAGTACAGAGGGTAGAAGGGTTGAGTGTTCATGTTCATTCTCACTGATTTTATTTTATATTTTCATGTTCATTTCTATAATTGTTTGCATACAATTCGACAATTTGGAACCTACCAAATTAAATTTCTCGAAATCATCTTACTTGTATTGAAGTTATTTCGACTTTGTGCAACTCCTTACCTTGAATGTAATCATGTGTAAGTCAATTTTACAAGAATCATAACTCCCATACCTATTTTTCCTAATATCGCATAGTTCTACTCTCCAAGAACTCGACTATACCAAAGTTTTCTCATATGTATTCACGGCTAATCTATGAGAAATAGTTGTGTGCGTACGCATACATCAACATTAAAGCGTACCAAAAGAGGCACCACACAGCATTCTTGCCAGATAAATAACGTTTCTTGAAACCTCCCAAAAAGACATTGATTTTTCTATCAAATTGGCTCAAAAGATAGTATAAAGCTCTTACAAAAATAAGTCTCATTCATTACTTTCCAATTAAACCAAACCAGAAAAACAGAATAAATACAGAGCATCGGTTTAAACTACAAGTCTAATACATACTAAATACAATGTTTAGTCTTAGAAAAATGTAATAAAGCCATCATTTTGCCACTTATCAAAGGAACAAAAGAATTCACCATTTCCCTTCTGCATCCGATAGGTTGATAGTTTTCTTTGTAGACCTCAAACACAGAACACAATGTTGTCTAGATGCAAAAACTCACTACTGTCCGGAACTGAGAGACTAGAGGTGGTCTTGAACTTAGGTATCATCAACTTGAGAGTGAAATACAAAGCTCGGGAATGTGGTTGTAATGTCTCTGTCCATTAAAGAAAAATCAGGATTAGTGGCTGAGAATTGTGTTCAATGAGCAAAATAACCATGAAAGGACAGTTCACATATTGCTAACAACTTACGCCCGTATAAGCACACACTGAAACCTAGATATGGTTTTTGAGATCTGAGATAAATCCCTGTGAATAACACTATATATGCATAGTAGAGAAATACAAGCTATCAGTAACACCAGATTTAATTTCCAAGAAAAATGAAATGGCAACTGAAGTTCGAAATATTGTTGGAAAATCAGAATCATGATATAATGTGTGTCAATGAATGCACCAATCACATTTCCACAAAACTACTGTGACGACATAAAAATTAAAAAAATAATAAAAATAAAAATAAAAAATCTGTTTGCGTCTTGTGTGTGTATGCTTGTGCAGGAGGAGCAATTATCATTGGATCACTCAAACACAACTGCACAAGGTCCGTGCCCCAGTCTCTTGTGAACTACATTATGGTGCATAAAGATTGAAAATGCGATTTAAATAGAACTATAATGCGAAACCTACCAGCTTCAGCTTGGTCATACCAAGTGCTCAATTGAATGGAGAGATCGACTTAAAGTGCATCTTCAGTAAGCAGTACTCTTGACAGTATAGTATACATGAATTTAGCATTTTTTAAATGTTGTCAGTGTTATCTGATCCTAAGCAAACGTGCCAAAGGTCATAAAATCACATCGACAAGATATGTCAAACTTACTTAAGGTATTGAAGAGTCATATTCTTCAGGAGAGATTGATGTCGCATTACAAGATTCCGCCACTCTTCTTTGTCAATCTTCCCATCATGTTTGGTATCAGCTTCCTCAAAGGTCTGAAACAAAGCAGATATTTATCTCGCGACTAATGTCTGTGTACGTGAGCAAATAGTGGAAACTTATTCTAGGGGAATTCATGACATCACATTGAGGGTTTGATTGCATCTGAAAATACTTAAAAGAAAGACCTAACCAAGTATTTGTACTTCATTACGGACTCTTCTGGCTGTTAACTTGTATTTTACCCGAAAATACTCCTTTATAGTTGTTTCCTCGCTTCTTTCCACACATTCATGGAGTGTGGTATTATCAACCTTACTTAAAATCAGTTTCCATAGTGGCCAATTGCAGATTAGAAATTCCAAATTAGTTTTTCTTGAATAATGACTAGTAATAGAAATGCAAGAAATTGGATAAAATATTCATATCACAACTATAGCACTTTCATTCTTTTCATTCAGATGTCTAAGAAGTCACTATGAAGAGAAGCATTCTCAAATGCTCCATCCTAAAAGAATGTGTCATTTATAATGTTTAGAAGAAGAGAATATCAATGTCATTACAAGTTCCCTAGTCTATTATTCATGAAGTAAAATGCTCACTTAATCTGGAAAAAAAAAAATGAAAAAAATGAAAAAAGAAAAGAAAAAGAACCTAAATCAAGCATGGAAATAAAATACAATTTGAACAAAATTGACCAGCCTCTAGGCTCACCTTGTCGATAATACTTTCTATTACATCATCCGAAAGATTCATGCCAGATTCAGCAAGTGTGGCCACTACCATTTGCTTTACCTATGATGAAACAATAGAAGAAAAAGAGAGAGAAAAAAAATAAATAAATAAATAAATCCCAACTCTGTTGAGTTCTGCCACTGGGACACTTAAAGCTGCCATAAAACTTAAGCTACCACCCAGCAGCATCCCCACGCCAAACTTGAAAGAACCAGATATAGTAAAACAGATTTCCCAATAATCATAAAAGGCAAATTTTAAAATTCTATTTTCCTTGTAAAAGTAAAATCATCCTCATATTTATAGCAAAAACTACAGTGAAGTGTGAACATAATATTAGAAAATGGACTCTGTCAATTTCAAAAATTACCTCCTGTCTTTCAATGAATCCCTGCTGCTTGAGATCATATAACTGGAATGAAACTGCAAAGAAAAGGTTAGGTATCACCAGCTAGAAGCAAAATTAGCATCATAATGTAATCCCAGGTTTAAAAGACAAACACAGGTAGGATTCAACATACGTGAGATACAATATAATTACCAAGATCCCCTGATGTTATAGTGAAGGTGCATTCATATGAGATGCATCATTTTGGTTAATGTACATCTTTCTAACACCTTCCACCAGCCCCCACCCCACCCCCCAACCCAAAAATAAAAATCACAAAAAATGAAAAACTAAAAAATAAACCAAATTGCATAAATGGAAAATTAAAAACACTGGCATTCTATGTTATTTTACAAGCAAATATTTTAAGAGAATAGAAAGACAAGCAAAAATGGTATAGGGGAAATAATAGCAATGAAAGGATGGCACTCACAATCAATTTTATCATCAATGGGAGCATTGGGGTGAAAGACTGAAAGAGCACGGGCAAACTCGTCAAAGTCTAATAACCCATTGTGCTTTTTGTCGAACAAGTCAAACACCTGGAATGTAAAGAGATTTAAAGATAAATAGCAATAAGAAATGCTTTAAAGAAATGATTTAGAGATAAATAGCAATAAGAAATGATTTAGAGATAAATAGCAATAAGAATACCCAGTCAAACATGTATGCAGCTTAGGATGTGGTGTAGAGAAAATAAAGTCATAACGCAAAGGCTTTAAAGACGGACATTCAATGTATCAACTAATATGGATGACACGTGAAAACTAACCCGATCAGCAAACAAGCTCTCCTTTTTGTTTGTCTTAAATAAAGCTAGTTGGAACTCTTCCTGAAATTGAAGAAAGCAGAAAGTACAAGATAAAGATTCAGTAACTGAACTAGAGACGATAAAAATCACAGGGAAAATTTAATTTATAATACTGATAAGTGGATGCAAAGAAATAAAGTAACTAATTAACTAAACTTAACTAATAGGCCAATAGATAACATTTATTACCTTGTTGATGAGCCCATCATCAATCACAGCACTGCTGATCTTCTTAAACAATTCATACAATGCTTCTATTTCACTAACACTGACTGCATTTGAGTTTCAAAACAGTCCTAATTAGCATGCAATCACAGTGCTTAATTTAAAGAAACATATAATCAGAAATTAACACAATCTGCAGAATATTGCATTCAAGTCTCCATGACCAATTATACTCCACATTATAAGAAAAAATATGCAGTGCCATACTGCGAGTTACTTTCTGCTCTCTCCCGCTTAAATTTAATTCCTGATAAACCAAACAAGGCCTAAAAAATACAAACACACCATGGAAAGAAAATTCCAAGTGAAATAGCACTTTGACTGCTTAAAAATAATGGTCAACAACAACAAAAAAAGAGAGCCTTATTTTCAATAAATTTGGGGTCGGATATAGAATCCTTTACGTTGTTCCATTCTATCTCTCGCTATCTCAACAAAATTCAATGCAACCAAAGTCTTGACAACTGCATTATGTGATATTAATTTTAATCTGGCTCTTCCTCTTACCTGTTCTACAAGGACTGCATAGTTCTTGTGAATGAAAGCTTCCTTAGATCTAAGCAAGACACACCTCAACCACCAAACTCGTCATTCCCTTAATTCAATTGGTGCCACCTTCATTGCTGGCATATATTTTCATCTCTAACTCTGCCTAGTTTCATAAAATCCCAAAAATTATCTTAACATCATCATTTCGCTGTGTTAATTTTATAAATATTTTGTCCTTAATAGCCTGACCCCTAAAGGATATTGTCTAACTTGCCTTTTAACTTTAGGGAGGTATCTTTTTGCCACATAAAACGCCTAAAGCCTTCTCATTTCATCCATCCTGCTCCTATACATTACATTCTCCTCAAGTACGCTTCCTTACTAATAAGCTAACCTATATGCCTAAAAAGGCTAAAATAATCTATCTTTGGAATTATAGACCACCATCCTTGTTCACAAAGCTGACTCATGAAAATGGGATCATGATAGAGGCTTAATCAATTCACTAAAGAGTACGTTCAGCTAACATACAAAAAGGATAATAATAAATAAGAAGGCCTTGTTTTTGTCGTTCTTACAATTTACTGGTACAGAATTCTCAACTTATGACCGCAGCAACCATAAGAACAGCTATTTAACGATGTTTCCCAGGGATGATCTGTTAGCTTTGGTAAAGTTTCTAATAACCTACTCAATAACACATCATAACCCTCTTTGGAATTTTTAACTTTTGTTTTCCAGCCCTTTTCCATTTACTGCAAAGCTTTAAATGCTTTGATGTCCCTCATTCTGGGGGAGGTGAGAACCACATTGCTGCAAATGGGTGGTCGTGTCTGTATTAATGTTGACACAATACGACTTAAGGAATGCAAGTAATGGACACAAAAAAAGAGGGGCGTATCTAGCTTTCACTTTATACACGAAAGATGACATCCGAAAAACTCGTGTTTAGTGCTAGCCTTGAATATTACGAATCTTTCCATCAGCTTTAAAAACATTTTCTACCTAACCTCTGAAAGAACTGTGATGAACTAGTTACCACTTATCAGCCCATTTAGTCATAAATTTGTAAAACCACAGTGCTGCAAATGGGTGGTCGTGTCTGTATTAATGTTGGCACAATACGACTTAAGGAATGCAAGTAATGGACACAAAAAAGAGGGGCGTATCTAGCTTTCACTTTATACACGAAAGATTACATCCAAAACACTTGTGTTTAGTGCTAGCCTTGAATATTACGAATCTTTCCATCAGCCTGACAAACATTTTCTACCTAACCTCTGAAAGAACTGTGACGAACTAGTTACCAGCCCATTTAGTTATAAATTTGTAAAACCACATTGCTGCAAATGGGTGGTCGTGTCTGTATTAATGTTGGCACAATACGACTTAAGGAATGCAAGTAATGGACACAAAAAAGAGTGGCGTATCTAGCTTTCACTTTATACACGAAAGATTACATCCGAAAAACTCGTGTTTAGTGCTAGCCTTGAATATTACGAATCTTTCCATCAGCTTGACAAACATTTTCTACCTAACCTCTGAAAGAACTGCAGCGAACTAGTTACCAGCCCATTTAGTTATAAATTTGTAAAACCAAATCCATTTCCACCCACATAACTAAAACTTATATGGCCTGCTATTCCTGCTGTCAGATCCAAACATGAGATGGTTCCTGTATCACTTTTCCACCCCTAGTTTTTCCAAGCAATTTGATCTATACAAATCTGCAGCAGAACATAATGCGAGAAAACTATATTACAGTACCAAGTAATTTGAGAACTACAAAAAATTTAATATGTAATGATGGACGCAAGTCCAACTAACTGGTTTAATATTTCCTTTATGTGTATTCTGTTTTCCCTATGTGCTCATTTAGATCTTCATAAGCATATTTGCTCATTACAGCCAGGTATGGTAAGCCTATATGAAGAAGCAATTGTTATGACTGCTAGCTCATCAGTTCTGTTTCAATATCGCATTACTCCTCTCAGCAATGTTGTTAACGGCTATTTGCATGGGCCAAGATGAAATTGATTGCGATAAACCGATAACCCAGTTAAATGATATCTTTACATAGAGCTGAAATGTAAAACTGAGGCAGGCAAAATTTATTGAGAATTCATCTACTGCTTAAAAACGGAAAGTTTCCAGACATACACACAGTCTCCCTTGCTAGAGCTTCAGGATTTTCCAAGCCACCTGGCTGCTTATATATTTCAGAATCGCAGCAATTCACAACAGCAGAAAGCAGATGCTTCACTCCGTCTAAGCACTGCACCATGATCTTTTCTAGGAATCAATATTCTCCATTCCTGGACAAAAATAAAGTCAAAGTTCTTGATATCCCACAAAGCAGAATAGATAAAATAAATGAGTCAAACAACCTCATCTTTTGACATGCAAGCAATTTATGAATCCATCCAAAAACTCCAAAGGATAAATCAACACGAAAATTGCAATAAAATGGTTTCGAGATAGATCAACTGATAATTATCAAAAAAATCACCAGAAAAAAAAAAGTTTAAAAACACTCTGATGGCTTATAAGTTCAGTTAAAGTTGGAATTTAACGTTCATTGTAACTAGACGGATACGATATTCCACTTATTGGCGTAGAAGATCATAATCAGTTTCTTCATCCATTTATTTTGTTATTTTGTTCCTCAACCATTAGGAGAGACTTGTTCTGCATGACACTAGGGTTTAGTGCTTACAGGTGCTTTTTCCTAAATTTACACACCAAAACTCAAAAAATTTTAATTACTTAAAGAGCAGAAACTGATAGCTGATAATAGAGAAATAATTACATTTAACACACAGCTAATTCAATTTTATTTTCAAAAAAAAAAAAAATGAAGAAAAAAGATAGATCTTACTACAAATTTAGCTCTTACTGCTGGGATACACAACCATTTCCCACTTCGATCCAAGAGGTAAAAAGCAGGCAAAGAGTCTAAAAGGAATCACAATCGAAATGTTTCAGTATAAACTCAATCGAAAAGAATCACAATTTAAGCAGGCAAAGAATCTAAAAAGACCTCAATCGAAAAGAATCACAATTTAAGCAGGCAAAGAATCTAAAAAGACCAAATCAAAATACAAAGAGCATTGGTCTAACAATCATTTCCCACTTTGATCCAAGAGCTAAACCACCCGATTCATTAAATAAAAATCTCAAATTCCGCACTTACAATCCCCCGAAACATCAAAATCCAACGGGAAATACATCAAAATCTCGAATATATATATATATATTCCAAGCATCTCTATATACATTCAACTATATGCATACATATCCACCAGAAATACAAAAAAGAGACTTACCTTTTAGAAAAAAAATGAGATGATGGGAAAAAAGAACATTGTTGATTCTGCTTCTGAATCACTTTTTCCCTATAAAGTTTGAAATTCGAATGCGAACTTTTATCAATTCGTGGTTTTTCTGAATTTCAATTTTTCTTTTGAAAAAAAAAAAAAAAAATCAAGCAGCAAATGATTGGGATTGCTTAATGAACAGGAAAAATAATAATAATTGATAAAAGATAATTAATAATATGGGGCAAATTTTTAAATAAAACCTCTGGTATGGAAACCTAGAGGGAGATGGAGGTTGCGCTTGGGGTGTATCTATATGTTGGCAGCGATTGTGGCTGCTGCCGTGGTGCTTTTTTGGCAAAGGCTGGTAGTTTTCACGTGTGGTGACACTGCACGAGACTAACGAGGACTTGCCGTATTGCGTGTTTAGAATGACAATTAATTTGAATAATTTTAGGAATAAGATCGTGTATTGATTGCTGTTATCGCCAAATTCCCGAAAAGAAAATGGTTTGAATGGTACGATCCATTCGCTACTCCAAAATAAAAGGAGTGATCTCGTAATTCTTGATTTGTGAAAATTTATTATTAAATGCTTCATTTTCCTTTTTTCATTGAAGTTGAATGTAAATCTGTGCTGGAGAGATAACTGTCCATCCAAAGCACACGATCTGTTATCGAGTCGTCTTATTGGAAATAACAAGAGCATCTCTCAATATTCAAAATTTCATATCTAAAGTGAGTTTTCAAGAATCTTCAAATTTTAGTAAAAGCAACTCTCCAAAGTCGAATCGATTGGTTGAAATGCCTGAAAGATAACATTGTTTTGAAGAGGGGGGGGGGGGGTGTTTATGATGCTCCTAAGGATTAGTACCCCACTCAAAACAAGATAACAAGGGTCCTTTGTAGAATAATAATAAAAAATAAAAATAAAATCAATTCGAAGGGGGAAATGAGAGATGTTTTGTCAAAGGACTTTGGCGAGGCTTAATACAGAAGCTAAAATAGTAGCCCTTGATTGGATATTTTTTAAAAATTATTTTTTGGCCAAATTCCAATGAAATGTTGCCATTTGATGTGTAACTCCCATCTAGCAAAGCATGGTTCATAATTTTATTCAATGTCACTGAATCTAGTATACAATGATCAGAAACATTTCGGTTCTCCGACATTAGAGTTGACTTCCGAAACATGCTAGCGCCACCACAGTAGAGTTGACTTCCAGAGATGTTACATTCTTGGTACAATAAATTAGTTGTTAAGAATGAAAATGAGAAAAAATTTCATTATTGTCACGTTTCATTTCATTGTCAATAATACGATATGGAAATTAATGGTAATATGCACAGAACATCGAAGTAATAGCTCAATTTTATTTTTTAAAAAGATTGATCAAATGTATGCAAGTAGGGACGACTCAGAAAATCAACAAGTAATTAATGAAAGGTTAGAAAAATCAGTCCTATAATAACATAAAATATGTCCAATAAATTTTCTTTCACTCAGAATTCAGATTTTCCACAGTTTGGTGCATATATTCAAGATTTTAGTGAGATTGAATAACTTATGCTGCCTGCAGTCCGCGTTGAACTCCTAAATGTATAGAAATGACTTTAATATCTAATTATAAATATAAAATATTGGGATGATGATTGAGGAAATGGCGACAATGGGATACTTTTATTCGGTGACCTAAAATAGAGCACAAGATGGTGATATTGGACAACATGCCGGTTATTACTCTCTCTTTTTTCCTTTTTTTCCCCCTTTTTTTGGGGGGGGGGGGGGGGGGGGC